CATTGAGGGAGTACTTGAGTGGAGGCCCAATGTCTTTCTGCTACCTTAATAATAAACCTATAAATATATGCACATAGATCTATATCCCCATCTTCATATACAAATACATTTACATATATACATGCTTTTGTCTAGACCTCTATAAATGCCTTTTGCCTCCCAGCTCTCTCTTCTATTTCCTTGGACTTTCCTCCTGTCCCATTATCTTGCTCAGTCCCCGCCTGGGTTTCATCAATTCCTCTTGGTTACATTACCCTTGATCATGCCCTACCAGGCCTCCCACACCCTCCTCACCACCGATTTCGATCACTTGTTACCTTGTCCCTGAGTTTGTTAACACCACTACCTTTCGCCCTGTTGGTCCCGTTGTTTTCTCCTCCAGATTGTTCATCCAGCCTATGTTATTTAGACAGACCTGCGGAGATAATAACATGCACAAAAACAAGACAGAGCAAAACCAAGCAATAATATACATCAAAACAGCAACAAACCAATGACAAATAAAACAAAACACAAGAAAGAAAAGCTTGTAGTTAGTTCAAGGATCGTCTGTTGTCTTTTAGGAGTGTTTTCCAGTCCAGTCGGTTGGGGCACCACGCCTTGGCCCCAAAGTCCACCTTCAGCATTCCCTGGGGATCTCACCGCTCGTTCCCTTGCTGTTCTGTTGCACCCCATTAGTGTTTTGCCTTGGTGTGGCGTGATCAGATGGGGTGCAATTCCAACACTGTGTCTCCGTTGTTTTCCTCTGTAGGGCTATGGGTCAGTGAAGGACCTTGTTCTTAAAAGTAATGTCAGAATGTAAGTACTGTGTTGCCTCTTTAAAGCAGAGTGTAAATATCTGCTTCTACTTAGTTTTTTTTTTTCCTTATGTGCTTTTACAGAATATTAAAACATTTTTTTCATCAGAGACTCGTGTTCAATATTTCATCAGTGTAAAACATGTGATTCTTTATTTGTTAAAGGGTAAATTTTCATGACCATCTATAACCAAAAATGCAAACTCAGCGCCATCAAGTTGATTGTGGGTCAGGGCAACCCTGTAGGTCAGGGTGGAGCTGCCCCGGTAGGTTTCTGAGACTGTAACCCTTTATGGTAGTATAAAGCCTCATCTTTCTCCCATGAAGCAGCTGATAGTTTCGAACTGCAAGCCTTGTGGTTGGCAGCCCAATGCGTATTCTGCTACTCCACCAGTGTTCCAGGACGCGACAATTCTTTGGGAGTGTCTGTCTGCACCCTCTAAGGAAGGATGTTGGGGCCCTGGCAGTGCTGTGTGTTACACATTGGACTGCTAACTGCAAAGTCAGTAGTTTGAATCCACCAGCCACTCCATGGAAGAAAAATGAGGCTTTCTTTTCCTATCCAGATGTACAGCCTTGGAAACCCACAGAAGGCAGTTCTCATCTGCCCTGTGGGGTCACTGTGAGTCAGAAGTGACTCATTGGCAACACTTTTTAAAGAATTTGTTTTTCAGATGCAAAGTGAAATTTATCCCTAAATTTACTGCTATGCTTCAGTTCCACACTTCTTCAATCGGGTAATTGATTTCCATAGAAAATCTTATGCTAGTCTGTTCATCCATAGCCCAGCTAAGAACCTGGTGAACCATCAAACCATTTCCAAGAGTCAGAGAAAAGAGTAAACCATTGGGGAGAAGAAGGTGAAGGTTAATGGTCCAGTGAAGGAATTGGATATGTAGAGTCCCAAGGACAGTAAGGCAGGTTGGTCTAGTCCTGTTCAAGGAGATAAGAAAATCATGAAGTCGGTACCACCCACCCTCCAGGAGGAGCTCCCAGCACCACCCCCACCCCCACACACACCTTAGGAGCTTTTCTCTGCTCACAGTCACCACAAGGGCCCTGTTATGCAGGAATATGCTTATCTTCGATAGGAATTGGCATCTGAACTTTGAAACCAAATATGGTGATTACACTTAATGCTGGAGCTTATCACAGGCATTGGATGTGGGTGGGTGCTCTCCCATAGCTACAGTTTAAGACATTTCCCTGGATTGGGGTCAGTCTAAATATTGTCAGGGAGAAAAAGATAAATCTGCAGAACATAGGTGTTTCTAACTTGTTGACAAATAAAACTTGCTTGGCTGCCGGCCTAAGTGGATATGTGTGGAGGGATGGGGAGCAGAGGCGGCATTTCTCCTGGGATAGGATACTGAGTCCAAGGGTTATTGACCATTACCACAGTTGTTTTGGTAAAAAAGATCCAGAGTTCATTTCAGGTTCAGAGAGTAAACACCCATTTCTGACCTGTGACCTATATCCTTCT